TCCCACCGTTTGTAAGAATTGCATAGAGAATTTCATTCCAAGTATCAGGAACACCGGCCAGACACCAATGGCTACAATCATCTCCTTTCTTATTGGTGACATAAGTGGACGGATGGCCGTCCTTTCTTAGTTGCGATAATGTGGTTGTATCCAGCAAGGTTACCGGCTTAGACATCTTGCTCAACACCTCCTTCACAACACCTACCTGCGGCGGTGTGCCACCAGGATATACTGAACCATTAACCGGTGTGGTTTCTCCCTTACAATTTTTATTTGTTGTTGCATTCCACTCTCTTGAACTGTTCCACCAAGAATTATACATTATTTTCGTACAATAAATTATAAACTCAATAGGACAATGTTACCAATCAAGCCTAAAAAGGCAAGACCGAAACATGTGATCTCTTGATTTCAGCACTCAGCAGCCCCTTGGGTGTTTAATTTTGATAGGATTGTAATAGTTGTAGTATCTCTTACACTCTCTTGTCTTGAATTTTCAACTTTCATATACAGCATATACAATCAATTCAAAATTTTAGATTCGTTTCTAATTAATAGTAATAAGAGGAAGTCAAGAACTAATGGTTACCTGAAATGAGTTGGAGAAATGCCCTGAAAGAATACTTTGGTAATTTTAGGGTCAATGTTTGAGTCGACCCACTTTGACCAAGTAGTTAATCCCTCCTTAAAGGCAGCCAAACGATCCATGTCTTTAACTGTCTTCCCTCCTATTTCCATGTAGTCCCATCTGTAATCCAAATCAATTCATGTATGTAAATATGTATATATTTCTATAGCTAGCTAGCTTGGATTAATTTAAAATTTTTATTTTTACCAAAATTAATTCATTTAAACTTAATAAAAAAAAGCTTTTCACAATTTAAATGGTATAAGATTGCAAAAGGTTAATTATTTGAATGATGCACCTGTAATAGATGTGAACTTTTTCACTTAGTAATTATTAGTAAAAAATATATATATTTTACAATTCAAATTATAAAATACTAAATTTTATAAAAAAAATTGTTTTTAAAATTAATTAGTTAATTCTATTAACCACTCACGGTTTTTGACTATCATTGTGGGTCCACCAATGCCAGGTATTAAAAATAAGCACATCGTATCCTTTCCATGAATCGCCATTTTTAATGGAGTCGAGCTTTAAAACCCGCCCTATCTTTTCTTCCACTATATCAACCAAGAATACATTTCGAGAAAAGCTCACTGAGACTCCATAATCCTGCATATGCAAAATGTTATCAACTAAGACATGTAATCAAATTTTCTTTTCTTTTCCTAATTTGAGCCACAAGCAAGAATATGATAAAGAAATAATCATTACACTTGATCTGAAAATCATTTTTTTTTAAGTATATTGGAGGTCAAGTACTTAATATTATAAAAGTTTAAATCATGACCTTAACTCAAATAAAAACTTCTTAATTAGTATGTATCAACTTATTCAAGCTCTTTGTTGTTTAATAAAATCTAATTAGCTTACTTTCATGTTAAGGGTATTATTTTCAAAATTGTAACTGGATTTCGGCACGGCAGCATGCAATATGCAGGTTAGGGACTCCCACTGATTATTAGTTATAGAATCCCCTATAAATAGAATTTTCTTTTCCTTCATCGTCCTTAAGAAATTCTCTCCATTAAATCTGCACACACACACATAAAAAAAATTTTTTTAAAATTAGAAATCCAAAAACTGTGTTTGAAATTGTATAGTGGTACATGCATACATATACAACAAAATAGCTCATCATTTCCAATTGCAAATCCAGAAATCCTTCATTATTCCAACATATGAACATGACACCTACCAGTTCTCAATTAGCTCTAACAGTTGCAACGTCCTCTAGAAAACTATATCAAAAATATGTTTTAAAATTCATACCATAAAATACAATATCATATAATAAGAGATCTTAATTGTGGGAGTAAACCTCTTCGCCAATCAAATAATTTTTATTTTATAGTTACAGTGTTCTTGCTAAACACTTGACTGAAAATATACCTGTTTCACAATTTGTAATTATATGCTATGAACTCCCAAAAAGGTTTTAATTTTAAAGTTCTGCCTGTGTGTCAAGATGCATATGTATATATGCTAACACAAAGTACCATCTAACCGTTAAAAACAACAAAACATGGACAGTGCTTGGACACCTTACCTTGGTAGTGCACAAGCAGCAGGCTTCCATTTGTATTTGAGATACTGTTTATCAGGCCGTCCATTTCCCTGGCAATTAAAGTCTTTGTTCACAAACGGGCAAGAGGAGCCATCATAAAGAGGATAAGTTTCATCCAAAATCCAACTTCCTTGAAACAAATCACAGCCCTGCAATTTCTCCTCACCTTTCTCCCCTTTCCCATATGATTGATAGATGCATGATATCAGGATAACAGAAAATACGGTAAATGAAAGTCCAGGGAACCCATCCCCCATTGTTAAAGACAAATTAAGGATCACAAGGGCGTGGAAGGAGAGCTGAATACTGTTATTATAAATACATCACACAGTTGTTAAAAAAAATGGTATTTGGAATCTACTTGGGATTTTTTTTTTTTACTTGGTTTTGCTTTTTTTATCTTGATAATTATATAATTATAATGCTAAATAGGATGTTAAGATTATAATTATATGATATGTTATTAAATAAGTTAATATATATATATATCATAATAAATTCGTCTCTAAATGAAAAAAACAATTATATAATGTAAGATTTCAATGATACATAACATTATAAATAGAGATTTCATACAAGAAAAGATACAACAATTTAAAACTTTTCTAGTTAAGAATATAATATTTTTTTTCTTTACTAGTCAAGGCTACCATCAAAAAATTTTAATTAAGGATATAATATTTGTAATTTTACTAATTAAGGATACCACATTCAAAAGTATCCAATAAAAAAAATGACTGTACACATCTATTTAATGCTTATTTAGTAAAATTGTAAATGTTATATCTTTGATTAGAAATTTCTAAAAGGTGATAACTTGACTAGTAAAGAAAAAAGGGAAATGCTATTAGGACAATCATTTTGTCTTTTTTTTTTTTTGTACAATCTGACGTGTTATTAAAATAATTAATTCTTTTAATTTATATGGAACTCGTGATATTAAATGTATCTATTCATTCAATAGCATATGAAAATCGTATAAAAAGATTGTCCAACAACACCACCCAAGAAAAAATATCTATCCTTAATTAGAAAAGTGTTTGAAAGGTTTTATCTTTATTTGTACAAAATCTCATTATAAATAAATTATTTTCGTTTTTATCTTTTGCAAGTTGCCCCGTTTTATTTATTTTTTGCAAGGTGATTACTGTCTAATCTTATCAATATGCCCTGGTTCCGAAAGGAAAATGCATCATATCATTTTCGTTTCTAAGGAAAGCTATATTCTTGTTTGGGTACTTTCTTTAAGTTGATTCCCTAAGGAATATGCGTAATCTGCTTTAGGGAGTGCTTGGTCTTCGGGTTAGCGATTTAGATTAATTGAATAAATAAAAATATTTATATTATAAATAATAAAAAATATCAATAATTAATTATCAAATATCAACCTCTGTTTACTATCACAAATCAAAACTTAAGTGAGATTTGCCGTTGAACTACATAACTTCTGATTAATTATATTGGATCAAACATAAAAATACTACTATTTATTATCCACCGGTTTTTGTGGAAGAGTTAAGGACATGAATTTTCAATTCTTTACAATTATTAGTACATATTTATGCTTATAATTAAGCCACTGTGCATGTTAGTAGGTAATATTTTTGGACTGATCTTTCTAATTTCAAAGTACATTTAGCATGTGGGAATGGCAACCGATTGGCCGGATGAGAAAGCACTAAAAACAATTTGGGTTCAAACCAATGTGATCGATCAAATGGGGAGTGGTACAAAAGTTTATTAGTGAATGATTATACACATTCATCATACCTCTTTGATTATTAAATTAATAGTGGATTATTAAGATCATGGCTTCAATTTTATTTTTTTCAATATCTCTTATTT